CGGCGGGCACAGGTGCGGCACGCGTCGTGTCTATCTCAAGGCGTACGCGGCGCTCCAGGCTTCATCCAGAGAGCTCGGACGGACGCACGTCCTAAAGGTCCTGCCTGGGCGGCGGCGCTACCGCCTGTCTGCTCCAAGTCCACCCTCGCGTAGTGTAAGATGTGATCGAAGTCGAGACAACGTTGCCCGCTGCTGATCAAGACACGTCGTTGCGCGCGTTCCGCCAAACGGTTGCCTTTGACATCAGCATCGTGCATGCCAGCAACAGCGATATCCACTGTGCGCAACGCCCTCTGCAATCTCTTGTCGCGTTTGATGGAGGTCCGGATTGACTCGTTGGCGGCTTTCATGAAAGTCAGCCAGGAGACGCCTCTTCTGGTAGACCTGCTTGGGCTCTGGAGGCCACGCGCAAGGCTTCCATGAAGTAGCCCAGATTGGCAGAGTTGCCACCGATCCCACCGACCTGGCGTGAGATCATTCTACAAGTGAGAGCGCAAGGCGAAGGTCTGGACACTTCAACTTTCCAGTTGGATGCCAGCCAACAAAGCGGCCACGACGCTTTACACACATCACTTCGTGGTGAAGCAGAAGGTGAAGCGAATGGCAGCAGACGGGTTCATGCGGCAATTCCACGATGCCTCTCCCATGGTCTTGGGCAAAATGGCATCACCCAAGCTCTGAACCGGGTCGGCGTCTACATCACCTCCTGGTTCTACACGGTCGGCTCGCGGTGCTCGTGAGTTAGCTTGCCCAGGTTGAGGTGGCACAGCTCCACCTTGGCAAGGTCGCTGCCGTCGGCGCCTTCGGCGACATTGGGGCAAGGACTGGGGCAAGGACTGGGGCAAGGACTGGGGCAAGGACTGCAAGGCCATCGGGTTGATCGATGGGGTCTGGAGCACGAGACTCCAACTCACCTCGCTCTTTGCCTCCAGGCGGATCAGCGCGTCCATGTCCTTCTACCGCCTGATGCGGGAGCACCAGTGCCAGCCAGGGACGGCGCAGCGTGCCTCGCGCCGGTTGGCATGGTGCGTGTTGCAGAAGTCCCAGGATGAGCAAGCCGCGCGCCGCCATCCATCCGGTGTGTTCACGAACATATCGGAGTGGCAAGACCAGCATCGGAACAGCGTGTCGGGCGCAGGCGGTTCAGGACAAAGGCCTCTGGGAGCAAACTGAAAGTCAGGCTCAGGCATGAAGCGCGTCTCGTCTTCCTCTTCCTCAAAGGGCCAGGGAAACTCCATGCCGGCGCTGGTGCAATGCGTGCAACCTGATGTCAAACGCGAAGCCGCGTCACAGCATGTTTTGCGGCGACAGGCGAAAAGTGCAATTGGCTCGAGCGCTCTGTGGCGGCGAGAGCGGTATGAACATGCGATGCTAGATGGCAGATGGGCAGATGGGGCATGCATTCACAGCTTGTACAAAGTAAGTCCAAGAGACAGGAGGACAGGCAATGACCTCCTTCCGAGCGACAGCTGCCAGGCCGTGCATGCCCACTTCACCTGTCCTGCGGACTGAGTTGCTTTGAAAGTCTTGAAGGTCAAGCAATGCGAAGCAACGCGAAATAACATAAAGCGACATGAGGCAACATAATCCACTGCTAAGCAACACAAAGCGAAACTAGGCGACGAAGCAAGAGGCAACACAGTAACCCCCACTTCTCCCCCGGCCTGTCGTCCTCGAGCTCATCGAAATCTTGCTCTAGCTGGCATCTTCTGCGAAGTGTATACCACACGAGGGCAACCACAGCGGGGCTGAGCTCACCTTAATCCGAAATCCCAGCACTCGCACTCGCCGGGTTCATGCCCACATGACTCAAGGCAGGTTGCAAAGCCGCGCGTCCATCATACCATGCCGCGCTGTGTCCCTAGTGGCTGAGCCAAACAGCATCGAGCCTGGCAATAACCTGGTGTGTGATGCCAGAAACGCCTTCAAATTTACAAATTCAAATCATTTCAGACCCAACCTCAAAATAAACGTGAATGTCAAGTCCATGGATTGCGGTGGCCATGCTTCTCGTGATTTCTGGTATGCTCTCAGTGCGGACACAACGTCGTTTGCAGCCTTGCAAAGCCAAAAGTTCACCTCAACTGGAAAGGACGGAAGCCGCTGCTTAAGCTCATTCCCAGGTTGTCATGCGAAAAATCAGGAATATTACGTATGACTTTCCGCTGACACCTTGTCAAGTTGCGAGGCAAAAGGATTTGCAGGAATTACAGGACAGCTTTCATGTTGCTACAGGGGTCTGTCGCGGGGTTAATTCATCACAGCTTCTATCCGCAATTTATCTGTACATTAGTCTGAGCACTTTATGCAAACTTCTTTATCTGTTCAAAGTATCTGTGCAAGCAGGTAGACTCAGAAAATGCCAATGGTCGGCCAGCATGATGCGTGCTTTGGTCTAAGTCATCCACCCGCGGAGAGTTCCACTGCTGCAACGGAGAAATAGCCACCGACCCCTTCTGACAAGTCGGCGGGGACCATCAACTACTTGCTTGAGTATACTCAGGGCTCCTTTGAGCCCCTTCTGCTTTCTCCGTTGGTTGTTGACCCTTTTGTGCCAGCCCCGTCGCTGGCGCTGTTGCCGGCGCCGTCTTTCCCTTGCTGCTTGTCCCTTCCCATCATTGGTTTTGAGCTTTATGCCCGCTCCTGTCGCTGGCCCTGTTTCCGATTGATCCGTGCGGGCCGGCTCTTTGCCCCCTGCAGCTTACTCGGTCCTTTGAACGAGCCAAAAAGTAGACGAAACCTTGCGCAAGAAGCTCAACTTGTTTGGAGGGGAAATGCGCAATGTCCATCCAAAGGTCCAGCCAACTAGCATGACGGGGCCAGGGCCCTAAACCAACCTCATCCGACCCTAAACCGACCCCTGAGCCCACCCCAACCCAGCCTAAACTGCCAAACCAACCAACCCAACCCTGAACCAATCCTAAGCCGAGCCTCCTTACCGGAAACCAACCTTTCAACCCAGCCTAAACCGACCCTAAACCCACCCTAAACGAATCCTAAACCACCCCCAGCTCCATCAACTTCCAAATCCAAGTGTTGGACTTTGCTGGTCTCGGAATCCTGGCTTTACGGAAAAGCGGAATCCTAGTTTCGGAACAGAATTTGTTCCAGGTGCACACTTGATATCTGATAGAAACATAGTCTGGTCATTGCGGGCCCCCTTCAGACATTTTGAACCCCCGCAAGCCAACCCTGAAGCAACCCAAAACCAACCCCAGACCAAACCAAACCAGTCCCAACTCGCGCCAGCTCTGTGTCGAACTCTTTCTCCGCAACTCCAGTTCCCGACTCTATGACCCAACTCCAGCCAGCAGTCCCCAACTCCCCGTTAACCCCTGGCACTGGCAATGGCAGCACAATACATTTATTTTTAGCCCAAAAAAGTGGTCTCTCACTTTTTGGCTACTGGCCATGGCGCAAGGCAGGCCCAAAAGCCCGCCGACCTGTCAGCTGCATTTCCGCCCCATCAAGTGACCCTGTTGTTTCATGGCCATGTTTCTTAAAATCAAACAGCATTTCTTCCAAGTGTCAAATGACATAATGTTTCCCTCACGAATTTCCAGCAAGACGATAAGTTCTATCTCGCAGTAGAAGCGGCCGCAGTCAATTCACTCTATAGACTCTATAGACTCCACAGACTCAAGCTACAGACTCGTGCTGCCATGGCGTGCTGTGAGAAATCCTTACGCTGATTTAGAGCCTAAATAGCCTGAATGAGGGTCGAAGCATGCGCAGGCATTTCGGCTTCAATGTGCATGTCGAATATTGAAAGGCTATGTTTTCTTTCGCAGGTAATCATCAACTCTCAGCATCGGAGAGTGATGGCAAAGGGCTCTGTGCTACGCGCTGACCGTCTCAGCCAAACCGGCTTGAACTGCCTTCTGCTTGCCTGCTTTCTTTGAACTGCGACAGTCTAAATTTACAATGCAAAGTATGGCAGTCTCAGCTTGATGTCGTTGGATTCACCTGTAGCCAGAGCAACTTTCATGACGGCCTCCTGAACTTCTGCGAGGCCGATTGCAAAGTCCATGTGCACGTGCCGCAAAACTGGTCTTGACCAACATGCCACATTGGATCCCTAAGCCTTGCCTTACAAAAACTTTGGCGACGGCCATTGGGCCATAGCATAGTTACTAGCATGCCATAGCTCAGGCCGGCACTGGGAGATGGCCTGTAGCACAACAGGGCCCCAACCTGGGCAAGTCGGGATGCGGGCCATGCACGCGCGGCTGGGGGAGCCCACACAGCAGGCCACAAATGTTGATGCATCCTCCATAAAATCCATGAATATATACCTGCTGTGCGCAAAGCAATCTCTTTATGGCAAGGCGGTGCTTTCTGCCTGATGACGTCTTCTGAGAACCCGTGCAGTATTACCTGGGCGTGGGCCAAGCCTGCCTGTAGCCTCACGGGAGCAGGGCCCTGGCACGCGCAACAAAGAAGGCCCTCAGCAACGCGGCTACAAGCATAGAAATTCTGAAATTCTAACTCGAGCGCTCCAATTTCCCACTGAGAACGTTGCAGCACGGAGAGTGGGGCAACTGCAAGGGCAGCATCCGTGAAGTTTCCTCTCGGGCAATCTGTGCCACGTTGGGGGCTTCATCTGGGTAACATTGTGCTGGCCTGTAGACATCTGTCTGTCCTAAGCGGCAAAGTGATATCATCCACAAGGTTGCCCTTCGTTCTCAGCATCTGCACGTCTCTAAGCCCCGGTCAACGACACTTCAGATGAAGCAAATGAATGTGCCGAAAGGCCAACTGCTTTACGGCACCTGCGCGCGCACTGCCGTTGGCATCAGCGTTGTCGGGATGAACTCTGCAGCCAGGGTACAAGACTCTGGCAAATAGTAGTTGGAGGATGGCGTGGAGTGATGCTCAAGAGCATCGGTTATCGGATATGATATGGCTGCGGCACACATGAGAGCAATTTCACATGCTGGACGCTGCTAGCGCCACACCATTTCCCAAAGAACCACCAAATCTTGAATCTGTATTTTTTTACTCGACAGTCTGTGTCTTTGCACATGCTGCTGCTCGCCGCTCTTGGAGTCTTCGAGTGAGGTAAGCAACCTAACGCATCGACTTCGACGGCTTCGAGTTCTTCGGCTTCGAGTTCTTCGGGTTCTTCGGGTTCTTTGGACGCTCGCACGCTCCGCGCCTCTGCCTCGCTCATGTCGCCCAAGGACTCGGCCCTGATGGATGCCTCCTTCCCAACCGAGGAGTCCAGCTGGGCCGGGCTCAATCGCACACCCTGCGGCAGGTTCTCGCAGCTTTGGCCCAACCTCAGGGGATCTCAGGGGTTCAGAGCCCGAGAGTTCAGAGAGAGGCGATGGATCTTTCGAGGGGAAAACGTAATCGCACGACTCGGTGTCTCGGAGATGTCTCGGAGATGTCTCGGAGGTGCCATCGGCGGCCTGTCCAGGAAGACGTAAACATCGGTGCCGAAGCCCTCCATGGACTTGAGCACCACGTCCCCGCCGTAGTATCGTGCATGGAGGCGAGACAGGGGAAGCCCCACCCCGGCCGCGCGGTCGTCACCTGTCCCGTAGTAACTCCACGCCTGCTGCAGCTCGCTCCGGGGGATTCCTTCAGCCGGGTGAATTCAAATCTGCTTGGCAATGTTTTGCATCAGCTTGGACAAGGACAAGTGCTCACGTCCAAGCATCCTCCCCCTTCATCTGAGACCTTGATGGAGACATCCTCTCTGCCGTGCGCGAAGATCGCGCGGACCGGCGCCAGTCCTTCTGGCAACTGCATCAGTTTCCTGGCGATTAACTTCAATAAACTTCATGACCCATGGCTCACACAGGCAAGCTTCGGTGCAATCCTGGACATGATCGGGAAGCCAGCCACCGTTGCTCTGCCCAGCGGCACCGACTGCGGCAAGCTCACACTTTCACAAACAAGATATTTGTCGTCAATTGCATCCAGTTCAAAAAAAACGAAACAAGCAACAGGACGCTGAACACCGGCCTGTGATTGCTGGGCCGCTGCATCTGATGCAACAGCCAAAAGCAACTCTCGCTGCTCCTGACACTGTCTTCCTTGGTCACCAAGTGCACGTGAACTTACGAGAGATTCTGTGAGAGCTCACCAAGTGGGGCTTCTTTCAAGCAAGACACGCTTCCAGTTGCCAACTGCAGCTTGGCATGCATTCCGCAGAAGCTGGAAGCAAATGAAGTGGACGTGACTTGGAACCTCAAATGTGCTTCGTCTTGAGTTGATCTTTCGCTTGTGCTCAAGCACGAATGCGTTGATGTGTCATCATATGGATGCAACAAGGCAGCATGTGTGAAGCAGTCTTGTTTCGGGATCGGCCGAGACAAACTGGAGCCTGTTGCATAGGTGTTCGTGTGCACCAAAGGTATCTCGGCTCCGTCCCCAATCACTTCCACCTGTGGCCTGACATCTCGCCGTCGAGTCAAGTCACATGGGCGCCAATAATATGTCGATGTGTCGATAATAAATATGTCGATATTCCAATATCACCTCAATATCCTTGTCATTTCCAGCTCAGGCGCGCCAGGCCGAACTCCTCCACCACGGCCGAACGGGCTTCCGCGGCAGCTGCGCGGAGCACGTTGCCCACCTCCATGCTGCGGATGATGCCGGAGCCATCCGACGACGCCTCTGCGGCTTCGATGTGGTGCCTCAGGACTTTCTGACATCTTTCGATCAAGCCGATTCGCATGTCCAAGCGCGCTATGACAAGCTGCTGGATCAGGAACCGCAATCCTATGCGCTTGATGAAGAAGCGATCAAGGATCAAATCCACCTGCACGGATGCGTGGGTCATGGCTTCACATCCAAGGTGTTTCGCGCTATGTTAGATATCAAATGCATCTGCGGCTGTCTTCGGAGCCTCGGTTCTCACTTCCTCATACTGCGCTTCGCCCAGTGCAGAGCGGACCTGGCGCAAGATGCTCGGACCTTGCCTCATGCCTCAAGAACTGAACTTGCTCTGAGTGCAAGGTCCGGCCTCCAGCACAGCCCCTCCCACTGTCCGTGTGATGTCTGCATTGTCCTATGCAAGTCGCACCTGTCACTCGCTCCTCGATGGGAACGTCCAGCCTTCAAGATCTGCTTTAGAAGCTCTGTAAAGGCAGCGTCGTCTTTGGACGGAGCCGGGAATTCAGAGAGCCAGTCCACGTAGCTGCTGAAACACTCCACCACTTTGCGCACCCCGGCGGTCTCTGCCAAGCCAAAAGGCAAGAGCAGCAGCTCCTTGCAAAGCCTCATCCCAACCAAACACGCCAAACACTCTGACATGTCACGGTGTCTATCTGAGGCTGTCGCTGCGCATTGCGGATGGCGATCTCCTAAAGGGCCCACTGGGATTTCTGATCATTTCAATTGACGGAAAAACCCAACGCTCCATTCGAGCAACTCGAGTCTCCCTCCTGGTGAATCAGGCGCGCCAGCTGTGGCCGGTCATCACGGCCCAACCTGTACAGCTCCTGGAACTTGGGAACTTTCGCCCGACGGAAGTTGCATCAGAAGTGTCCTCCAGTGGGAAGGCACGGCAGCTCTTCCGTGCAAAGTCTTCTACTCTTCGGCCCAGGGCCCGCATGGCGGGCACGCTCAGCGCCCCCACATCCGGGCTTGTGCCGAGAGTCAACGTCTGCTGAAAATGTTTGGCTTCAGCCAACACAGCTGGCATGGACAGTGATGAAATGCAATGGACACACATTGGATAATGAACGTCTCCTGCTCATTTTGTCCGCGTGTTCAAACATTTCTGAAAGCTGTGTCCTCAGCACAGGCTCTGAGAGCTTGGGTCATGGACTGTAAATGCAGCAAAGTTCGCCCACCTTCACAGTCTCGTCCCGTGAGGGTCTTGCAGCAAGCGCTTGCCTGAGCCAAGGAAGCTTGACACGTGGCCCTCAGTTGAGTCGACTTTGAGGAACATCTGCAACACGCACTGCACGCACTGCACGCACTGCACGCACTGCTCCTTCGCCGGGTGGCCGAGCCCGAACCAACCACTCCTCTGCGGTCACTTTGTCCCAAATCGCAGCGAAGATCACGCCAAAGCCGAGCAGCCTCAGATCAGAGCCGCGCGCCAATGCCGCGCATCAGCTGGAAAATGAGACTTGCGCGCCTCAGCAGCTGCCGGCCCTGGACGGAACTCGAAATGCCCCGCAGCACAAACCTCAAATCCCGGAAGTTCGAGAATGTTCGAGATGCATGAGAGTCTGCAAGGCTCTAGGCAGCAGGCTCCCAGCTGCTTTGGCCGATGTGCAGGGCAACCACGCAGGACGCGGCCGTCGAGTACCAAAATCTGGAGGGGAGTCCCTTCAGGTTCCGCATGAGCTGCACCAGCCAGTCGCCATCTGAAGTCCCCTCAAGGCGTGGATACAGTTGATGCAAGCCGAAAGGAACACAAGGAACACAAGGAACACAAGGAACACAAGGAACACAAGGAACACAAGGAAAAGGGACAAAGCGATTTTCTGTCGAGGCACTTCTGTGAGGTTCCGAGTGATAGTTGCCCAGCTGCTGTACACCGCAACGCCTCCAGAGCCTGCCACATAGAGCAGAATGAACTGGCTGAAGCGCGACTGTCCCGAGAGCAGCTCCTGCAGTGCCTTGGCTTTGCCGATGCGACCTCGAAAAACCTCAGCCGAGGCTGCGGCCCTATCCACCAAGCGATTCGCAACAAGCACTGCTTTGAGTGCTACTGCCTCTGTCAGCTGCATTTTAAGCCAATCTGAAGTGGCATGTGCAGGCTTCCGGGTGCCACACCAGTGTTGCAACAATTGCAGCCGGCGGCATATCCACAAGCTCTCCCCGCATGTGAGACAAGCTGGAGAGCCGTCCTTACAAGCTCCAACTCATGGATTTGATGTAACATGTGTAACATGATGACATGGTAGACCCCTGGGCCTGACCAGTGATCAACTCGCTCCTGGCAAGTCCAATCTCTCTGCATCAGCTTCATGCTCTCCACATCTCCCAAAATCCTTCCTGCATTTGCTCCCACTTCTGCATCAAGAAGAGCGCCATGGCAAGGACTGCCCTGTGGCACTCCGGGTTAAGAACACTTGACCCAGACTTCTCTTCGGGTCTGTATTGAATCTTGCGCGGCGCACAACTGCTTGTTGGTTCCTTGAACATCCTTCAAAATGTCTTTGAAGTGAGATGTGCTCGGATGCTGCAGCACAATTGCGCGATTGCTGCTGTAATGCCGCCTAACGCATTGCAAACTTGCAAACCCTCGCTGCAAACGGCCTTTTGACTTCTGAAATAACTCCCTACAGCGCCAGCTGGCTAGTGCTGAGATTCTCCTTCACCCCCAGGCATGCATCTCCTTATGCATTTCAAGTCTTCCATAGATCTCTTGTGATCTCTTCCATCTTGCACCAAGCCATCTCCGATCAGCACAAAGCCTTTTGCCGCAAGTTCTGAGCCCTGCACAGGTCTTGCCTTGGAGAACGTGACCACCGGCTCTGGCGCTGCCGTTGGCGCCGTCGCCGTGAACGCCGGCGCCTTCGGCGCTGCCTTCGACTGCACCTATCAGTTGCACCAAGTTGCACAAGCTGCACAAGCGGCAAAATCCAAGCTGCTTGCAGAAATAGTTAGTTGACATAGCTCCAACCAAAACCAAAATCTGTTTTACATCTGCGGTCACTTGGTCTGCAGTCTTCACGATCAAACTTCTCGGCTCCAGACTGTTCCCATCATCTGGGCTTGGGGAACTGGCACCTGGAAGCTGCGCAGAACCCTCGAGCCGAGCCTGGCTCTGAGCGCAAGGCCGCGATTGAGATGGCCTTGCCTCCGAAGGGCGAGGGGACCTCGATCTGACGAATTTACCTTATATTACACACAATATTACTTGAGACATGGCCTATAGTGTCATCGTGACTACAGGATCACCGAGGCCAGGTCCGTCACAGTCAATCCCGAGGCTGCCTTCGATGCCACATAGGCCAAGAGACATCTTGCATATCGCCGTGTCCAAGGCAGGTGCACTTGCCCGAGGTGTGGGAACACCAATTTGAGCCTCAGACACTGAAGGCTTGCGCTTTCTTTGCATGGCTTGTACATGTCTCTCCAAACAGCTGAGGGCCAGTCAGCGCCAGGCCTTTTCGGGAAGGCCTCAGGCACCTTGTCGGGCATCTTGGGGAAGGCCTCAAGAGGCGCAAGCTGCCCCGAAGGCTCCGAAGGCTGCGAGGCTCCGAGGCACGGACCGGCGCTTGCGCGGAGAGCCCGAGCAGTCCCAAGACCCCTCCAGGCCCGGAAGCTCCAGAGCCTCCAGCAGCTCCGGAAGCTCCGGCAGCTCCGGAAGCTCCAGCTCTGGAGTCAGGCCGGGCCGTTGGCACTCTGCCACTCAAAGCTCCGCTCAGCGTGAGCCCGACGCCCAAGCCCGATGTCGAGTTGCTCAGAGCAGTGAGGGGCACTTCTAGTTGCTCAGTCTCCGTGAGCACAGTAAGCTTCTCCCCATCAGCCGTCTGCGCCAAGGCAGTGCCGATCTTCCACTCTCCTTGGTGAAGGAAGTGCACATCGCTGCCAACTTCCACAGACTTGGGCACTTTGGCTGCAGCTGGCGCAGCTGGAGCAGCTGCCTCGGGGCTCTCCTTGGCCATGAGCGCTGCTGCTGCTTTGGCTGCAGCTTGAGACACGTCCAAAGCCGCCATTCTGGCTTTTGTTTCAGCTTCTTGAAGAATTGCAGCGTGAGCAGCTATGGCTGCTGCTGAAACAGGTCTACCATCTGGCATCCTGGCAGGTCCGTGAGAAAATCTACATCTGTCCCCACGGCTGCAGGATCCCCGCTGGTAGTCTCCGCACATCTCTGAGCTGCGTGGCAATGGAGCCAGGCCAGCAAGGCTGGGGATGACAGAGCCTCCCGGAACTGCTCCCCCAAGTGGACCTCCTGGACCTCCTGGACCTCCTGGACCTCCTGGACCTCCTGGACCTCCTGAAGTTGGCCCTGCGACCGCCGTCTTCGGCCCAAAGCCAGCTGCCAGCTCCTTCGTGGCCAGGTCATGGAGCAAGTCTTGCGGAAGCCCTGGAGCCACTTCGGGCGGGGCATTGCTGAAGTTGGCACCTCAATTATTCTCGCGCCTCTAAGTCTATGCGCCAATTTCGGGCTCTCACTCTCTCTAAGCCTCACGGCAATAGGGCAGGCACGGGCGATCTTGGCTGGCTTTTTGACAGGGCTTGACCTGACATGCTGGGATCTGTCTCATGGCTGGGCAAATGGAAATGCAGAGCTGCAGTGCGATCATTATCATGAACATGATCGATGTGCAGCAGTTGCTGCGAAACTGCTGTGCACACCCTCCGCTATATTCTACACATGCAAGGACCAACCAATCGATACAAATGGACAGCACAAGGGTTGAGGGCATTGCGTGCAAGGCCCTAAGAGGGGAATTGCTTGAAATCAAGGCCATGTGCATACCTTCTGACCGGCCTGCTAGATGGGCTACTGCCTCTGCTTGGGCTCCGCTTGGCGCTCCGCTTGGCGCTCCGCTTGGCGCTCCGCTTGGCGCTCCGCTTGGCGCTCGGCTTGGCGCTCGGCTTGGGGCTGCGCTTGGGGCTGCGCTTGGGGCTTGGCCGGGGGCTGGGCCGCTTGGGGCTCTGCTTGGGGCTCCGCCGGCGACTCCGTCTGGGGCTCCGCTGGCTGCGGGATCGGGATCGCCGCCGCTGCCGCCTCGACTCGAGTCATTTGAGTCATTCGATCATTGGACAGTACTCGATCATTCTTCGATCATTCTTCGATTCGATGATACGAACCCCAAATTCGGCTCAGTCCGCATTGGCTCGAGGCGCAACGTCCCCCGCCTGGATCTCCGCACTCGTCTGTGAGAATGCCTCCGAGAGCGGCTCCTGATGTGAGCTGTCAGGCAAAGCAGGGACACGCTGCTCTGGCACGGCCTTCTTCTACGACTGCGACCTCAATCTGAAACAGCTTGACAGGCTGGAGCAATGAACAACCATGAAACCTACTGCAATCTGAGGATTCACAGATCATGAACTTCATCTGTGTGTTTCTGCAATCGTCCCAAGCTCAGCACGGCTGGTTGGTCTTCTGCCTCGACTTCGCGAGCCTGACAATCTGATGGCTGAACAGCATGAGAAGCAACACTTGGAAAGGTCAATCGCATGTCAAAGGAACTTGCGCCTTTCGTCCGAACTCGTTCTCGCTTCCTCGGCCTCTCCCTTTCCTCTTTTTCTCTTTCCTTCTCAAGTCGCTTTTCAATCTTCTCCTTCTCCTTCTCAGCTTCTTGTCTTGCTTTATCCTTGGCTTCAGCATCTAGCCTGGCTCTCTCCCTGGCAGCCTCCTCCTTCTCCTCCTCCTTCTTCCTCTCAGCCCTGCGCTCTGCCTCCTTGTCGCGCAAAAGATCCGCAAGCGTCACTCCCGTCGTGACCTTCTCAACATCTACCTCGTCCGCGTGCTCAACATCTACCTCGTCCGCGTGCTCCACGCGCTCCACGTGCTCCGCCTTGTCCTTTTTGGCCTTCGCCTTTGACTTCTTCTTGGGCGCGCGCTCAATAGCAAAGCTCCTCGCAACGCGCGAAACGCCGATGAAATGCTGAAGCCCAAAGTCCGTCTCTGAGCTTCTGACATCCTGAGGTCCGCAGGGTTCCCCTCAGTGGCCTCCGCAGGGGCCAGGCATCAGCCATGCATCAGCCATGCACACGTTTGAAGTGACCCCCAGAGACCACCATAGAAGAACATGACATGTTGTGTTTCTTTGCAGGCCCTCAACACATTTGACGCATCTCCGGGAACTTGTGTGAAAACTCGCCTTGATCTTCATGGGAAGCACCACCAGGTGGTCCTCCGGCACCTCTGTGGCTACTCCACGCTCCAGGTGCGTCAAAGTGCCATCCTCAGCCTGCCAGGCGAAATCACGTGCTCCAAAGCACTCGCTGCTTTCCAAATCCTTCACTCAAACCCCTTTTCTTTATGCGCTTATGCGCTCGTGATGCGCTCGTGATGCGCTCGTGATGCGCTGGTGATGCGTTCCATTGGAAGTCTCTCACGCCTTAAGCCCCGTAAAGTTGGAGGACAAGTCCACGATGCAAATGCGCCACGCATTGTCCATCTCGTTCATCTCGCAGAGTCGGAGCTCGGCATGGTTCCGGGACACGCCGGACCTGACACGAGCCAAGCTTCAAGCCTTCAGCCCCATGCAGCACTGAGTCTCTGAGTGGAGGACAAGTTGACAAAGATGTCACATTTGGGATCGCGGCCGATGCTGACACTCTCATCCTTGCAAAGAGAGCTGAGAGAGCGGACTTGCGCAACTCAGCACTCCTCACCAGGAACCAGCGTAAATGTCTTTGGCTCGTCGTCGCCGCAGCGCAGGGCAAAAGTCACAGGTTCCATGGCTCAGCTCATTGCGAGTCACTCAAAACTAAGACAGCGTGTCAGCGTGCGCCCTTTGTGGGCTTTTGAAGTGCATGGGGTCTGCCGGCAACCCTCGGCAACCATGGGCAACCTGACAAATGCTTCGTGTGGCTTGTACTTCAGGCGGCTGGCGGGCTTGGACACCTTCCATGCCGGGAGCTCCGAGAGCTGCGGGCGGACTCGCTCTTTCTCGCGGCATCGAGGATCCGGTTCAACGTTTCAGGTGAAAATCTGGCGACTGAAAAAGCGCCATACAAAAGATGCTGCCAGTTTCATGCCGGCTCAAACTAACCTGCACATGAACGCCTGACACTAATCATCCTGATGTCTGATGGACACCCGATGCCAGCAGTTGCAATTTAAACCTCTCAAATTCCACAAAGGCTCAGGCCTTTCTGGCTGTGTGCCTCGCTGGGACATGGATGGGCATGGTGGCCTCTCAGCCACTACTTGCACTCGGACTTTGGCTGCCAAGGAGCTGTACGCTGAATCCACCGCCCGGCAAAGGATAGTAATATCCTTTCCTTTGAGCGAGTCTGGCACGGGCACCTCGACTGAAGACAGAAAGCACCAAAAAACTCACGTGCAATCAGATGCAAACAAACTCACAAACGGTACTCAAACAATAATTCCTGACAATCTGCAAGCCTCGGCGTTCTTTCTGTTTTTCCGAAAGAATACCAAAACACAAACACATTTGGGTTTTCTGAGGGCGGAGCGGAAGCCTCCCAAAACGTCCAAGCCCAAGCACGGTTGTACGCTTGGTCCTGGTGACTCGCATTTCTCCCATGGCTTGCAGAAGAAGAAACAAAGAGCAAATGAGTCGAGTCGACACTTCCGAAACAAGCGAGCATTCGCATGCGACCCGACGGCAGACGCCTTGCCATCCTGCAGATCCGCTGTGATCCAGGTCTTGCCATCATCCAGGGACAGGTCGACTCGGACTATACCCCGACCTCCTCCGCTCCAGGCAAATCCCTTCACCTCGATGTCGTCCAGCTCCACGGTGCTTCCAGCTTTGGGAAACACGATTGCAGATTGCACTGGTAGGTCTTGCATTGACGGAATCTTCTCCTTTGCCAAATCAGTCGCACTGCACACGCTGTGGCTGCTTCCACGGCAGCAACTGAGGCTTCGTCAATGTCTATGCCCGTCAACTCCTCCAAAGATCGATCGATCCGAGCAAAGATTGATCGATTCGAGCAATCGAGCAATCGAGCAAGCTTAGCCCAGTCATGGCCTTGACGTTGGGCGAAAAGCCCTTGTAGGCGATACCTCTTTGCCAAGGGCCTTGGGCTTCTTCTTGAGAGGCAGTGATCTTTCCAACCCATTTCACGTTGCGCACGCCAACGACGCCTGGAACCTCAGCCCGTGCTGCTACGGAACCAAACTGCCAGTCACTAGGATCGAAGAGACTATAGGAGTATCTAGGAGTCGGGCGATGATTCGCACAGGAGCCCCATGCTCCTTGGGCAAACTCTCGCCGTTCATCTCGTAGGCCAAAAGGACGTCGCCGTATGGGCTGAGCGCCTTCTGCACCGGTATGCTGGCCTTACAATTTTGCTGTCAAGTCCCACGTGCAGGCCCCATGCACATGCAGTCCAGGCCTCCATGCTGTCCAATCCCTTGAAAATGATGTGCTTCACCTCCCCAGCGGCAGAAACAGGCAGAAAGAGGCAGAAAGAGGCAGTGAGCTTGAGTTGAGCCTTTGGATGCCTTTGTCTGGCTCTTTCGTACTCTTTCATCGGTTCCCACCTCGAAGGCTTCCACGTTCTCGTGGCTGAGCCCTGCGCAGTGCTGCAGCACCTGCAAGAAAAAAAACAAAAACACAATGCACCCCGAACCGTTGGGGCGTACCCGTACATGCGAGCCAATGCAAGCCACGGGAATGTCCGAATGTCCTGTGTGGCTTGCTCTGGCCTCCCGCAAGTAGACTCCACCCCACTTTGCGGTGGACATGGCACCAAAGCCCCAAGGTATTCCCGAGGTCTTCTCGATTTGGTCCAGCTCGGACCTTCGATTCCCTCCGCACTGGAGGGTGGCCACTACCTTGGCTAACTTTCTGATTTGGGCGCGCTGAAGATACTGAAAGCTGAAACATGCTGAAACTGGAGCCCGTCAAAGCAGCCCAGGCACTTCTCGTTTCAAGAAGCGGCTTTTCAAATCCTCCAGCGACAAGGTGACAGACTTAGTACCCACGCCGTCCACGACAAGCCGGTACTGGTCGTGATCCATGATAGGAACAGGGTGATGATGTCGAATGAACCTGGGGCCACGCCAATGCTGATTGTGGCAACGGAAAGGGTGTCACCAAGGCAGCCGCCACACAGGGTTGGGCGTCAGCCAGGCATCCAGCATGAGCTCTGCTGGGAGCTCAGCCTCACTTTCTTCAGCATGTGCACTTGATGGCAAGGACCAACTGCGAGTCCCGCGTTGCAAGGCTTGTTGTTGTGGAAAATCAATCCCTCAGTGCCATGTCAAGCAGAAGGCTCTTCATGGACTTCTGGATTGCTGTTTGGGGCGCGGGATGGCGCTCTGGATCTGTGGAAAACGGACAAGAACTCCTGTCAAAAGGAAGACGTGGACGCCAACTGAGTGAGGCGAAGTGAAGGTCCTGTCGTCAGCCTGTGGAGGATCCTTGATTCTTTGGTACGCTTCAAGCACCGGGATAGCAACTGGCTAGGCTCATGGCAGACAAATCTCCAATACGCATGCTTTCCAGCAGCTCCAGCGCGTTGCCTCTCCCAGTGTGCTGCTGGTAGATCCGCCTTGGGGCAAAGCTTGCAATGTTACATGCTTTTATCCGTCATTGGCCTATAGTGGAGCTTCGACCACTTGCTCTGAGACCAAAGCCAGAATGGATCTATGGCCTTTCCAGCTGCCAGCATGATCTTGTCGGTGCCACCGGGATGGTTTGCCACAAACTTTGTGATGTCATAGACACCATCCTGCCGGCGCTATGCAGGTGCTAGGCAAGCAACTAAGTAAGCAAGTAAATTAAGTAAGACAGTGAGCGAGCGAGCGAGCGAGCGAGCGAGCGAGTGAGTGAGTAAGTGAGGGAGGAAGCAAGTGAGTACGTGAGTAAGTGAATGAGAAGGTAGGCAAGAAAACAAGAAAGCCAGCATGTAGGTAGTAAAAACGCAGAAGGGGACGTTGTGGAGGGGCCTGCGTTTTTCGCGTGTGATAGTTTGTGAGTGTCTTAGGTATTTTTCAAAAGCATGCATCCAAAGTGCAGTATAAACCGATAGGGCATTATGAATTCCACCAGACATGGAGAAGGAGAGACGCGGGGGGGGGGGGGGGGCCGGGTGCAAAGGTAGTGGTGTTTTTTACTTTTCAGGGCTGGTTTTCCGCCCTGGCAACATCCCCAGCAACACCAGCCTCACTTGGCCCGGGGGTTTTGTCAGTTGCGGGGGGCTGGTTTGGGGTATTTAGGCGAAGTGTAGTTAGGGTTGGATTTGGGCTTGGCTTGGAGCTGATTTGTGTTGGGTGATATTTGACCATTAATAAAAGCTCTTGAGAATACAAAGTTAATTCTAATAAAAACACAATTAAAGTAAATAATAAAAGAAGAAAGAAATAATGCAAAGAAGGTTCAGAAAATAGACCTTCGTGCCTCAGATAAATCTATTATTCTCATGTTGAATTTTTTTTTGTATTACTAATGAAATCTCATTTACAATCATATCCTTGTCCTCTGATCATAAATTATTTTTGGAATCTTGGTTTTTATTAGGAGTTACTATTTTATTACCAATTCTCTCTGGAATCTTCTTAGGTTAACATGTAACATCAGATATTAATTCAGCATATTTTAATATTTTCTTTTTAATTAGTGAAATATATTATGGATGGTGTTTACGTTATCTTCATTGTAATGGTGCATCATTTGTCTTTCTTTTTATATTTCTACATCTTGGAAGAGCTATATCTTATGCTTCATATGTTTATAACCCTAATACTTGGTTTTCTGGAATTATTATTTACTTCTTCTTAATGGGAACAGCATTTATGGGTTATGTTTTACCGAATGGACAAATGAGGTATGGGGGGTTACAGTCATTACAAATTTACTATCTCTCATTCCATCTTTAAAAGAATGGCTTTGTGGAGGACATTATGTTTACAATCCAACATTGAAGAGGTTCTACTTTGCCTTTCATTTTATATTTCTATTTCTTCTTTGTGGTTTTCTTCTTTACTTTATCATATTTTAATCTACATTTTCTATCTTCTAAGAATTCTAACAGGAATTCCACTAATATTAAAATAGCATTTTTCCTTTCATTATTAGTAAAGATTTCTATGGAGAGAACTGCGCAACGCAGGCCTCCACAGCATTCCACACTAAACTAACCTTAGCGAATGAGTGGGTGAGTGAGTGAGTAAGTGAGTGAGTGAGTGACTGCGTGAGTGAGTGACTGCGTGAGCGAGTGGAGTGAGTGGAGTGAGTGGAGTGAGTGGAGTGAGTGGAGGGAGCGGAGTGAGTGGAGTGAGCGTGAGTGAGTGAGTGAGTGAGTGAGTGAGTGAGTGAGTGAGTGAGTGAGTGAGTGAGTGAGTGAGTGAGTGAGTGAGTGAGTGAGTGAGTGAGTGAGTGAGTGAGTGAGTGAGTGAGTGAGTGAGTGAGTGAGTGAGTGAGTGAGTGAGTGAGTGAGTGAGTGAGTGAGTGAGTGAGTGAGTGAGTGAGTGAGTGAGTGAGTGAGTGAGTGAGTGAGTGAGTGAGTGAGTGAGTGAGTGAGTGAGTGAGTGAGTGAGTGAGTGAGTGAGTGAGTGAGTGAGTGAGTGAGTGAGTGAGTGAGTGAGTGAGTGAGTGAGTGAGTGAGTGAGTGAGAGTGAGTGAGTGAGTGAGTGAGTGGAGTGAGTGGAGTGAGTGGAGTGAGTGGAGTGAGCGGAGTGAGTGGAGTGAGCGGAGTGAGTGAGTGAGTGAGTGAGTGAGTGAGTGAGTGAGTGAGTGAGTGAGTGAGTGAGTGAGTGAGTGAGTGAGTGAGTGAGTGTGAGTGAGTGAGTGAGTGAGTGAGTGAGTGAGTGAGTGAGTGAGTGAGTGAGTGAGTGAGTGAGTGAGTGAGTGAGTGAGTGAGTGAGTGAGTGAGTGAGTGAGTGAGTGAGTGAGTGAGTGAGTGAGTGAGTGAGTGAGCGGAGTGAGTGAGTGAGTGAGTGAGTGAGTGAGTGAGTGAGTGAGTGAGTGAGTGAGTGAGTGAGTGAGTGAGTGAGTGAGTGAGTGAGTGAGTGAGTGAGTGAGTGAGTGAGTGAGTGAGTGAGTGAGTGAGTGAGTGACTGAGTGAGTGAGTGAGTGGAGTGAGTGAGTGAGTGAGTGAGTGAGTGCGTGAGTGAGTGAGCTGCGTGAGGAGTGAGTGGAGTGAGTGGAGTGAGTGGAGTGAGTGAGTGAGTGGAGTGAGTGGAGTGAGTGGAGTGAGTGGAGTGAGTGGAGTGAGTGAGTGGAGTGAGTGGAGTGAGTGGAGTGAGTGGAGTGAGTGGAGTGAGTGGAGTGAGTGGAGTGAGTGGAGTGAGTGGAGTGAGTGAGTGTGAGTGGAGTGTGGAGTGAGTGAGTGGAGTGAGCGGAGTGAGTGGAGTGAGTGGAGTGAGTGACTGCGTGAGTGAGTGACTGCGTGAGCGAGTGGAGTGAGTGGAGTGAGTGGAGTGAGCGGAGTGAGTGGAGTGAGCGGAGTGAGTGGAGTGAGTGAGTGAGTGAGTGAGTGCCTGCGTGAGTGAGTGAGTGAGCGAGTGGTGAGTGGAGTGAGTGGAGTGAGTGGAGTGAGTGGAGTGAGTGAGTGGAGTGAGTGGAGTGAGCGGAGTGAGCGGAGTGAGTGGAGTGAGTGAGCGGAGTGAGTGGAGTGAGTGGAGTGAGTGGAGTGAGTGGAGTGAGTGGAGTGAGTGGAGTGAGCGGAGTGAGCGGAGTGAGTGGAGTGAGTGGAGTGAGTGGAGTGAGCGGAGTGAGTGGAGTGAGTGGAGTGAGCGGTGTGAGTGGATTGAGTGAGTGAGTGAGTGAGTGAGTGAGTGAGTGAGTGAGTGAGTGAGTGAGTGAGTGAGTGAGTGAGTGAGTGAGTGAGTGAGTGAGGTGAGTGAGTGAGTGAGTGAGTGAGTGAGTGAGTGAGTGAGTGGGTGGGTGAGTGAGTGAGTGAGTGAGTGACTGCGTGAGTGAGTGACTGCGTGAGCGAGTGGAGTGAGTGGAGTGAGTGGAGTGAGTGGAGTGAGTGGAGTGAGCGGAGTGAGTGGAGTGAGCGGAGTGAGTGGAGTGAGTGGAGTGAGTGGAGTGAGTGGAGTGAGTGGAGTGAGCGGAGTGAGCGGAGTGAGTGGAGTGAGTGCAGGAGTGGAGTGAGTGGAGTGAGCGGAGTGAGTGGAGTGAGCGGAGTGAGTGGAGTGAGTGGAGTGAGCGGAGTGAGTGGAGTGAGCGGAGTGAGTGCAGTGAGTGGAGTGAGCGGAGTCAGCGGAGTGAGCGGAGTGAGTGGAGTGAGCGGAGTGAGTGGAGTGGAGTGGAGTGGAGTGGAGTGGAGTGGAGTGGAGTGGAGTGGAGTGGAGTGGGGTGGGGTGGGGTGGAGTGGAGTGGAGTGGAGTGGAGAGGAGTGGAGTGGAGTGGAGTGGAGTGGGGGGGAGTGGAGTGGAGTGGAGTGGAGTGGGGTGGGGTGGGGTGGAGTGGAGTGGAGTGGAGTGGAGTGGAGTGGAGTGGAGTGGAGAGGAGTGGAGTGGAGTGGAGTGGAGTGGGGGGGAGTGGAGTGGAATGGAGGGAGGGGAGGGGAGGGGAGGGAGGGAGGGAGTGAGTGGAGCGAGTGGAGTGGAGTGGAGTGGAGCGGAGTGGAGCGGAGCGGAGCGGACAGGAGTGAGTTAAGTGGAGTGAGTGGAGCGAGTGGAGTGAGTGGAGTGAGTGGAGTGAGTTGAGTTGAGTTGAGTTGAGTGGAGTGGAGTGGAGTGGAGTGGAGTGAAGGGGAGGGGAGGGGAGCGGAAAAGAGTTTAGTGGAGTAGAGTGGCGGGGGGTAAGTGGGGTGAGTGGGGTGAGTGAGTGAGAGAGGGAGCGAGGGAGCGAGGGAGTGAGTGAGTGAGGGAGCGAGGGAGCTAGGGAGTGAGTGAGCGAGGAGCGAGGACGCGCGGGAGGGAGCGAGGGAGCGAGGGAGCGAGTGAGCGAGTGAGCGAGCGAGTGAGTGAGTGGGTGCATGCATGCATGCATGCATGCATGCATGTGCGCCTGCTGCATGCGTGCGTGAGTGGAGTGAGTGGAGTCAGTGGAGCGAGTGGGCGCGCAAGCAACTAAGTAATGAGTGGCTAAATACTCCAATTAAGCAAGTAAGTAGATAGGTAAGTGTGTAAGTGGGTGAGTAGGTAGGCAAGGAAGTAAGCAGGCAAGCAAGTAGTAGTTAAGAAAGCAGGTAAGTAAGCGAGTGAGTTGAGTCACTGAGTGAGCAGGTAGGCAAGTAAGTAAGCAAGCAAGCAAGCAAGCAAGCAAGCAAGCAAGCAAGCAAGCAAGCAAGCAAGCAGGTAAGGAGGAAAGGAGGAAAGGAGGCAAGGCAAGGATGATACAATAACCCTCAAAATCCCATCAACCCTGTGGGAGCAACGAGCAGCCGGGCTTGAAGCTTGCCTTGTAGCTGACCCAAATGCCCTGTTCAGGCGTGGTGTGCTTTGCCACGTCAGCGGAGCAGTATCTGGGCCAGGGTTCGGCCCTACAGTCCCCAGCTGCCAGCTGCCGCAAAGCTTCCCGGACCTCGCGGCTTGCGCCCCGAAGTGAATCCGTGGAATTCCATGGAGAACCGACCCAATGGCCCAATTAAACAAGTGCCGTAATTTGCCGTCTCCGTGTTACCAAGTCGTACAACCATCCTATGCCCCTATCCACATTCTCACCTGATTCACGGCCTGAGCCAGGCGATCTTCAGACAGCCCAGCGCCAGAGAGCTTGTCCTGCACGATGTAGACATGCTCAGCCCGAGAATCGTCGGCTGTGGAGATGCGCGCATCTTTGATGTTCAAATGCTGCTTCTTGAGGACCTCTGTTGCCTGCACCATGACATCGGCATGGCAAAATTAGCATGGCAAAGACTCAGCGGGGGCCCCGGCCTCACTGAGAAGTCCCGGTCGATCGTTGTCGACTCGGAATTTGATTATGCTGCTTCGCCCAGGCTCCTGAGAGTTGCGGAGTTGTGCATTGCTTCTCTCGTGCCGAGTTGCCGAGTTGCAGGTGCTTTGGGTGCTTTGGATTCTGAGACAAGCGTCTGTCTCACAAAAGGACTGCCTGCTCCGCCGCCTGGACCTTGAAAAACCAAGCAAGGTTCACAAAGCCATTCAAATGGACTCAAGTCACGGCTCTTGGGTTCTCGGCTCATAGTCGCTCCATGCAAGGGCAGCGGCAGACAAGCACAGCCAGGTCCTGTCCAGAACCTGGACATGCCGAATGAACAGGGAAACATGGTAAAACAGTGGAAAACAAGTGGAGCATCTGGAAATATCCAAGCCCAGCGGCTATGCGTGAGTCACGCAAGCTGGCACTCCATTGAAATCTCTGAACTAAGCGGCGGCTGATGGCCATCCTTGATTTAAGAGCCCTTGAGCCGAAAGCCTGACTCAGCGACGTAGTGAACGTGCGGCTGCTCAACCAATGTCAAGATGCGTCGATTTCTCCATGCATCTTTGCAAGTGTTCAACTTCGGCTTTAAGCCCTTAAGTCGATGTCTGCCATTGGCAGCCCTTGGAAGCGCAGGCCGCAGAGGTCGTCTCAAACGAGCAAAAGGGGTTTCCAGTGCACCAGCCGCCATAGGCGCTGAGCCCCGCCCAGTTGCAGCCGGGCATCCACAAGCAGGCCTCCCGGTCGCTGGTGAAAGTGCAGCCGGGGTTTTGCCATCGGCTGAGATCCCCCCGGCACTGCGTCTCTCGCCAGGCCGTCGTCCAATGGCAGGGCTCAGCGCAGCTCTCTCGGTCCAGGTGGGCACAGCTCTCCTTCTCTCCGGAGCACCAGCCCCCGTACGCCGTCTCCGCATGCCAGCTGCACCCAGGGATGTACGCGCAAACCTCGTGCCTAGCCAAACGGCAGCCAAACGGCTTGCATCACAAGCATGCACACAGCACGCATTTCAAATGCCAATCAAACATTTACTAATTGAAAAAAAAACAAAAAACGGCCCAGCTGCTTTGCAAGGTGGCACACATCGAACGAGCCGCGGCAGTCTGTGGACGGCACAGCCTGAACTGCAAACAAGCATTGGCGCTGTGTGGAAACACGCAGGCCTCCACGTCTGTGGCAATCTCACCTCACAGTATGTGCCAACTGTGCCTTGCTGGACTTCCAGCATGAAAACGTTGCAAAGGCCGGCGCTTCTTCCAAGCTGCCACTTCAGCTGCAGCAGCGACACGGGGAAAACCTGGAGCGTGCGCAGTGAAACTTGGGATGGACGTCAGACTTGACATGTGCAAACTCCAGCGCTGGATCGGCTGGCCTCCTCAGAGTCAAGGCTCTCAGCCGCAGCCAATGAAAGGAACACCAAGGCCCATGGCCGCGGCCGTCGCATGCTTCGCATGGCTTCGCGTCGTTCGCACACTCTCCGGTGCAAAGCTTCACATGAAGCTGGCAGGTGAGTTTCCCCGCCAGTTGAGCACTAAAACTTGCACGTCACTTGCCTATGCTTGCCTATGCTTGCCTGTGCTTGCTCTTTTTATCACAGCTTTTGCCAACGAGCAGGCGCTCGCCGCCTTTTTAACAACTAGGCTTGGCTCAGATGCAGGAAAAACACCACATAGCTCAACTGTTCAACCCATGGACAATGGAGAACAAAGCGTCCACGTCCAAGGGGCTTTTGGTAGATGAAACAAATACTGGAAAGCCCATACAGACTAGTCAGATCGAGTTCGCTAGTCAAAAAGGGAGGCAAAGTCCACATCTTCTTTTGGCTTTGGAGCCTGGCAAGACGCGATTTGAATTTTCCCCTCATGTCTCTCATGTCTCTCATGTCTCTCATGTTTCTCACTTTCCCTCGTTTGTCTCTTTGATTATCTTTGTCTCTTGCTGGCCTCTGGCTTTGGAGCCTTCACCGAATGCAAGATGGAGTCAGATGGAGTGTGCACAAAAGCGAGGGGTGAGCCTTCGGCTTGACTTCCTCTTTCTTCTCTGGGAGCTTCACCTGGCTTGCCAAGTTTCCCCTTCGCTCTTGACGACCTCCGACCTCCGGCAGCTTGACTTCCGGCATCTTGGCCTTGATGTCCGGCACTTTGATATCAGGCACCTGGTGACACAAATTGCACTCGGCACACATCACAGCTGTAGCAACCTGAACTTTCCTTGCAAATGGCCTTAACATCGGGCATCTTGACATCAGGCATCTTGACGTCCGGCATCTTGACGGCAGGCATCTTGACGTCCGGCATCTTGACGTCGGGCATTTTGACATCGGGCATCTTGAAATCTGGCACCTGAAGGCTGAGTCGGAGCGCTGTCCGACACTGTCGTTTGCTGCTACCTCAAAAAATGCAAGGCTCGAGTGCAGGGCCTTCAGTGCACTTCCACCGGCCCCCTGCACTGAAGAATCGGCCATTGCAAATGAAGCCGCAAGTATCGCTAAGATGGCAAATGACCAAGCCATGGTCAATAATTGTGCATTGTCTTTAAAGTTTAGCAAGTAAGTCTAGTGTTGCAACAGTCATTTGAAGACTCAATGCCATTTCCTGCAACAATAGACAACAGCATGTCGCGCGCACGGCTCTGTCCTGGGGCATGGAGGGCATAGAGGGCATGGAGGGCATGGAGGGCATGCTGATCT